GCGATCCGCAAAATTGCCTGGTCTCAGCACTCAGCGATGCGTGGAGGATCACGGCTTGAGCCACATCCACCACTTTCATGGCCGATGTGCCGTGCGATTGTCCCGTGTGACCTGCCTGACCTGCGGTTGGTTTCATTATCTTCATCGTCGCTTTCCGTCCGGATGTCATGCGACCGGTTGGCTCCAGTCGCCGATGGAAAAATGGTTCCCCCAAATCAGAGACTAGTTTACACCCCCCCCTCATGGTATCGGAAGTCTTTCTCTCCAGCGAAACCGATAATCAGTCGACCTACTATGAACATGCCGCCCATTGCTGCGTTTCTTTCCTATTTCATACAGCTCCATGTCCCTTCGTTTCCCTTGGACTTCCCTTTATTTCTTTTCAAGTTCATCTCTGTAGCCTCGGCAAAACGTATATTTTGCTTTGCTAGGGTGTATACCTCTATTTTCCGCCAATGCGGAAGTGGAAACACGAGGATGAGCCCGTGACCCAACTTATGACACCACCTCATCCAAAACAAAACAGGTCAACATTTTTTCTATATTGAATTCCAGTTAACTTATCTTGAACGCCTCCCTGTGGAAGTGATATAAAAGTGAATTTGATTCCCTCTCATTCCGTTGGAGTCTGTTGAACAGGAGAAACCAACAAAGCACAAAAGAAACCAATACAAAGCTGTACACCAAACCAGGACAAACTCTTTCACTGAAGGGATGGATGTTGAGTCCAGTTTGTCATGTAAACCTTTCTTGACCAAAACAGCATGTCCCCGCTCGAGCTGCGGGTCCTGAATTGAAGAGTGGGACCTGTCAAGAGCTCTGCTTCAACACTTTGTCATCTCACAGATTTTCTGGAAAATCCCGCAAAACACTTTCCACCGGTTTGGACTGGGGCCCTTTCCCCAATCCCCCAAAGTTCGGTGGGGCAGGTCCAGTGACGGGTCCTTCCTGGATGGGTCCTTCCTCGTCCCACCCACAATGCAGCTTCCGTGGGCGCGCGCAGGGCTGTTGGAAGCTCCAGCAGGGCGAGCAAGCCAGTCGGGGGCCGAATCTACAAGGCGCACGAACAAAAAGGTGTGTCTGATGTCACCACACCAAAAGTATAACATATCACTAATATCACCGGATGAGTTTTCGTGCTGTTTTCGTGAAGCAAATGATTTGAGTGTCAAAAGGTTAAACAGACCTGTCACGACTCCGATGCAAGGACCTGTCACGACCTCTCACGACGTGGACCTTCTGAGTATGTTGGGACCTATTTCGACGTCGGGCCCACAGCCCTCTGGAGGTTTCCAGCTTGGACGCACATTGGCATAAGCAACGATGTTTCAGTAGCAAGCGTGGTGAGCCACCCAAACACCCCCAGCAATCTCAAAGATGGGATCGTATGGGAAATGAATCCCCTTACAACATACAACATGTGTTGTAGATTACATGTTGGTTTTATGTAATGTCATAATTACCCAAACGCTCAATGTATATGTAATGTCATAGATTACATAAGTCCTCCAGTCAGTCTTCCCTCATTCCTTACGAGTTGCAGTCGAACAACTGCTGGTCTGAGAATCTGCAGTAGTCCCAGCCTAGGGCCTAGTAGACCTGTAACTCGACAGGCTCCAATTGTCTGTCATGAAGAGGGACCCCCCCCAGCCAGAAACCCAATGGACAAAAACACAAACGAAAAACCCATGGCTGGAATGTCTTTCCAATTTTTTCACATGTCAAACATACATGTTGCACACCTCAAAACATATTTAACATTTTTGTTGAGTGTTATTCCTCCAGATAGCTCGCAAGTTTCAATCCACATGAACAAATCAATCTGATGGGGTTTCTCGGGGTGTAGGCGTGGCAAAGCCATAGCAGGAAAACCAGTTCTGGGTCTCCCGAAGAAGCATCTCCTGATGAAAAGGGGCTTGCTGGACCCTGCTGCTGACAACCAAACGAAAGCCCCTCGTGCAATCTATATGGCCCATAGCTGCCAAGGCGACAGTCGGTGCACCTTGGCCAATATTGTTGGCAGACTTGGGCCAATCTGCTCCACCATCTCCTCCGACCTCTTGTGTCACACACACTCGGGAAAATTTGTTCGGAACTGAATGCCATTTGCCACGCGCCCACCTAGGGATAAACGCCTAAGAAAGCCAGCAGTAAGGTATGTAAGGCGTTCTTACCATGGTACTTCCAGGAAGACCTCCATGATAGACTCCAAGAATCCACAAAGTGCCAAATCGAGAGTCGAGTGGTTGACAAGAACGGCGACAACGTGCAGTCTGCCGACCTACCTCCACCAGAAACAGCCTGAAAGCAAGGGAGGACCATTGGAGTCAATGTGTTCTTAAGCAGGTACAGGATCAAGCGTCCTTGATCTCTTCCCATCTGTGATCATAGCTTCGTTGCGTGCAATTGTTCACAGATGCTGCACGCCCCAGCAAATTGAACAAAAAAGCAGCAGGCTTTCTGTGACTCCAAGGGTTTCACACACTTAGATCACGGCTCGCAAGAGCGGTATCAGTTAGTGAAGTTCCACTGTGCTGCAGGTAGCAGGTAGACCTTTACACGCAATTAGACCTCGGCTGAGGGAACGGAAAGGTGAAGGAGTCCGAAAACTAGAATTGTTTACATCGCTCAGTAGCCCTTTATCAAAGAGTAGGGTGACAGCTTGATGACATCACAAAACTGGTGATGACATCACAAAACTGGGGAGGCCTAAAAACAAAAAAGTTGCAGGTACACACAGTTGATCAGACTGCACATCCACCGAACAAGCATCGCTTTGTTAGCCAGAGTTTGCTTGTCGGCCGCTGGCCCCCCGCTGTGGTGCAACACCTTAAAAAAGCCGGAATGGCGCACTCTCTTTTTATCTGCGGGGAGGGGAGGCGGGGGAGAGGGTGTGGGAGTGCATTGATTAAACGAGCCTGGATGCCCACCTAACAAGCCTGAAAGAAGAACAAGACAAGACATACGAAAAAGGCAAGGAAAGAAAAGAAAGGTGCAAGGGGTGCGGGGGTGTGGGCAGGGCGTGCATTGACTAAACTAAACGAACCTAAACGCCGACCTAACAAGCCTGAAAGAAAGCCCAAGCAAACGAAAAAAGGCAAGGAACGAAAGGTGCGAGGGGTGTAGGGTTGGGGGGGTGGGGGTCCAGGCCTGAAGGCGATGGATAAGAAGCCGTAACCGCCGCACACTTGACTAAAAGGATCTAAAAGGCAACAGTTACACTAAAAACATCTAGAAAACAAAAAAAGACCTAGAAAACGAAGAGCGACAGCAGGAAGAAAAGAAACCGAAAAAGTGATTACTTAGCAGTCCCGCCTGAGTCCTATGATTACTTAGCCGCATGAAAGTGCATGTCATTCTCTGCCGTTGATCTCAGAAGGCGGCGTGAAATCGGCATTCTCATGCAGGGCCGTTGATCGAGGGAGGATCAGGCGCAAGTGGAAAGATCGGGATGGGGTCACCCTTTACGGGCCTGTGCACATGCTGCGCCCCACGTTGGGGATCACGCCACAGCCCACGTGGGTGTGGCGAAACACACTTAGATCACGGCTCGCAAGAGCGGTATCAGTTGGTGAAGTTCCACTTTACTGCAGGTAGCCGGTAGACCTTTACACGCAATTAGACCTTGGCTGAGGGAACGGAAAGGTGAAGGAGTCCGAAAACCAGAATTGTTTAACATCGCTCAGCAGCCCTTTATCAAAGAGTAGGATGACAGCTTGAAAACACCACAAAACTGGCGAGGCTTAAACAGAGTTACAGGTACACACAGTTGATCAGACTGTGCATCCACCGAACAAGCATAGCTTTGTTAGCCAGCGTTTGCTTGTCGGCCGCTGGCCCCCTGCTGTGGTGCAACACATTCCTTTGGAACAGGTGTTGACACACACACACACAGGCACACACACACACACACTTGCGCGGATAAAGCCTGGCCTGGGTTCATTGGGGCTCAGGCTCAGATCTGACACCAAGCAACGACGAAGGGAACCAAGGATAGGATTCCAATGAAGAAAACTTTCCCGTGCACATCCCAAGTTCGTCCTCATCGTGAGGAGAGGGAGGGCGCAGGGGATAGGTATACAAATGCCCTTTTCTGAGGGAACCAACAAGGGTTACCCATATACACTTACACGGTTACACGATATCCCCTTTGGAATTAGCGGTGAATGTCGGGAATCGATTCTATATTAGTGATAGAACGAAAAACCCACCTCAAAGGGCGGTTTGCCCCACTATAGAATCAAGTATCAACCTCCTGCAGTGCTGAGAGCCTGTTCTCTATGAAATGGCTCAACTCAACCTGACCCAAAAAATCGAGGAATCTTGATGGCAACATTTGGGAAAGTCACTGGTGCAAAGCCAAGCTCGTAATTGATTCTATAGAGAAGTGGGGGAGTATGAAGGTTGAAATTGATTTCAGAAAATGATTGGACAAAAGTGGCCCAGGAGGTTGGTTTGGATTTTATAGAGACATGATAGAGACATGTTTGGACACTGCAGTCTTGAAGTAGATTTTATAAGAAGGTTAAGCAGAAATACAAAACAAGTCCATGTTCTAAAAAATGTATTGTGTGGAGGGGTGATTGGACAATTGAAACCTAGAACCCAACACTCACCGGAAATCGCACAGAGGATGATTGAATGATTCGGAATACAAAGGCACTGTCCACTCTGAAAGCACTTCTCAGCCATCTACTACTCCAAATGCATTCTATAGAATCAAGAGTTAGAACCTCTATATAATATGGTGCATGTTCATGCCTTCTTTATAAAATGGACTATATAGCTCAACCTATTGGGCACCAGCCAAACTGGCCCAGTGGAGACCCATCTTTCAAGGCTAGTATTTTTCAGGTAGGTTGAGAGTTCATTCTATAGAAAAAGTGTCGGCAAAATCTAATTGGAGGTTTTTGAAACCGTGACTTTTGGGCTAGCATGCCGCCAACCTTGACGGTTGAAGCTTTGCGGCCCGAGCTTTTGCAAGGTGTTCGGCCGCGGCCATGGTGCGGTGGCGCTGGGCCCCGTTTCTGGTGGGCTGGATCGCGGGGCCCAGCCAAGGATGGTGGCAACCTGCCGAAGAGGAGGGAAGCCCGCCACCGAACAGCACCTGCTGGGAGGAGCCGTGGAGCTGCATCCAGCACAGGGTGAATGCCACGATGCTGGCTGCCCAGACCCAGTACAACTCCCTCACGACCTGGGACAGTATCCTGTGGACGGTTCTGGATACCCTGCTGAGTGGAGTTGGCTGGTTGATCTTTGGCCAAAACTGGCTTCAGGTGCGCACAGGATGCTCGATGATCCTTCGCATCGTGACCTTGATGGCAGTATGCCTGGTGCTCCACTACTTCCTCTCATTGGCATGGCCTTTGTGTTCCCTCCTCATCGGGACGATCCTCACCGTGGTTTGGTTCGTGCGAGCCTGTGTGCGGTGCTGCGGACGGGTGGCTTTCTACACCCAGAGGATGGCCGGCGGTGTTCCAGAGATCACAGGTGCCACTTTCTTCGGGCCCGATACGGGAGAGGTTCCCGAGACAGCCGACTTGAGGAAGTTGAAGAAGGGCACCAATGAGGATTGATGGGTACTCCTCCGACGGGACGGCCACGTCGTGATCATCAAGGTGACGGAGAATGCCGCCATCAAGTCCAGTGGCATGTACCTGAGCTTTGATCCAGAGGCGACCCGTGGTGACCCTCCCCTCCTTTTGGCTCTGAAAGGCTATGAGAGGGTGCACCTATGCCGGCACGACAGCTGTCCTGAAGATGGGCAACACTTCAAGAGCTATGCCCTGGCTCGGCAATTGAACCCGGAGAAGTTCCACCTCATGTCGACGGCTGAAGGAGCACATCGGTCAGGGTCTCGATTGATGGGATGGTTCTTCTCCAAGGCCAACCAGACGGCCAAGAAACTGAAGGACTACGCCTCCGAGTCAGAGCATGAGGAGACAGCTTGTTGCTGCGCCCACCTAGTTAGGTGGGAAAGCTCTGCCGGGAAGGAGGCCTTGGGAGACAGGCCGTGTGACAAGGCTGCAACTAACCAGGTGGACCTGCTGGAGGAGGACCTGAATGCTATGCCCCCCACACGGACGCCGAGTTTTTGTCCTGACCATGCGGTTCAATACTTGGTCAAGCGCGCCCCGGCTAAATGCTCCTTTGACGGATGTCGACGAGTGGGTACTTCGACCAGGCAAGGACTCAAGGTGCGCGCGGCCCATGAGGAGCTTCAGACCCCGACTCCAACGAGGAGGTCATCGCGGTAGATCCAGGGTGAGGGAACCACCTCCGGGAGAAGATGACGGTGACGAACCACCCGAAGGGGAAGGGGAAGGTCGCCTTCGTCGGAGAGGTCGAGGACGGGAGGTGGCCTATAACACTGACGAGGCGGAAGCCATCCTTCAGGAAGCTCGAGAGGAGGAGGTTGAGACGATGGCTATCCATCCTTCCAGGAGGAAGAGGGTTGCATCGCCAGGGCACACCCCGAAGTCCTCGGTCCAACACAGCCTGGCGAGGATGGGGCTCATCAACTCACCTGACCGACGGGGGGACATGACGTACCTGGAGGAGTTCATGGAGCAGCTCGCGGATGGCAAAGACCTGCAACTCAGTGAGGAGGACATCAGGAAGCAGATGGCCGCTCAGTCGGGACTCACTTTGGGAGACCTGACCAGGCAACTCTACGAGCAGGCAACGGAGGAGCAGAGGAAAGGCACCAAAGGCCTCACCAAGTTCTTGGCCAAGTGGCGCAAACAAGCAGCCGCTCAAGAAGGGTCTACACCTCCGTCAGAGTGGAGCCTCATCGAGAAGGACCGGGACAACGGCACACCTACTCCATCCAGTGCGACGTCAGGAGGCAAGACTCTCCAGAGTCCAGGACCTGGCTTCAGGCAACGGGTCACTTCAAGGCTCGCGATTGGCATCGCTGGCCCATACTGGGGGACACAGGAGAAGTATGCCCTCAGTGCCTCGGACTTCGTGCCCTGCACCGACGCGGAGTTGGACCAATTCGCCATCGAGAGCAGGACTGGAAAGCCCTCCAATGAGCAGCGGCCCGCAGCTCCGACCAGGTATGAAGACTGGCTCAACCGTGCAAAACGCCAGAATGACATCTGGGCATTAGTGTACGGGAGCGAATGGAAGGCAGTCCGAGAGCACGCCGTGAACCTGCTGAGCGAGTGGCACATCGGAGCTCCTCACAAGTGGCCCCTTCAGGTGTTGCTTGACGTATGGGAAGAACTCCACTGGCGGTTTCTGGAAGAGCTCAAGGAGGAGTTGAGGAAGATCAAACGGCTGGCTGGAAGAGAGTCCATGACCTTGAATGACCTCAAGTTCTATGCCCTTATGCCGGATGAAGAGGGCAGAGCGCCATTGGAGCTCCCACAGACCTTTGATCTTCGAAGACCAGACGGATGGTTCATGTCTGAGGTAATGCCCCGCATCGAACGAAGACAGGAGCGGATGCTATGGAAGATGACGTGGGAAGGGGCCGGAAAAAATCGGGCTCAAGGGCAAACCGCTGGAGGAGATGGAGGATCCAAGGAGGAGAAGCTGACCCTGAAGACCCTGTATGGTCCCAAGCTCACGGCAGAAGAAACGGCACGAGCGAAGGACCGGGCACCCACGAACAAGGAGGGCAAGCTCCTGTGTTGGGGCTATTTGTCCCATCTAGGTTGCTCCCAGCAAGGCTGTCAACGAGCTCATGAACCTCTGAAGGGCCCCTTCGAGTCGCTCGACCCGGCAGTTCAACTCCAGCTGTTGAGGCGAGGGGGCTTGAAGCGGATGAAAGCCGAGACCAAGGACACGGCCACCGAGAAGATCAAGGAGATCAGAGCCGGTGTTGCGAAGGACAAAGCTTCGAAGGTCCAGGATGGGAAGGATCGTCGACGTGCTGGGCAAGGAGATCAACCTCAAGGAGAAGGTGAAGGTCATGAGAAGGCCGGAGGACACCAAGGTGTGAGCTGGGAAGCCCCCGAGGAGATGGTGCAGGTTGATTACACGCACCAGGAGAAGGAGTTTGCTGAGCTTGTCGCAGGCCCTGATGCAACCATCTACGAGAATGTTCATCGGGAGTCGCAACCCCATCCAGGGCGAGAAGGTCAAACGGCACCGCAGGAAGCTCAAGACCTCGTCAGGAAGGCCCAGGAGCTGGCAGACGGGCCTGTGTTGAGCAAGTTGCAGGAGGCATCGGATGACCTCTACGCCTGGGCATCTACCAGGGTGGCCAACGACCCGGAGACCCCCTTCGAGACGCTGATGGAGGAGATGGTGCAGTTTGGGTTGGGTGAGTTGGCAGCCGAAGCCGCGTACCTCCTCGAAGCTCATGGGAGGGGCCCCAAGGCCGGAAACAAGGCCAGATGCCGTGTCGAGGAAACCCGGTGGGAGGCGGACGGACCAGGAAAAGCCGTGGTGCAAATTGATGAGGACTTGTGGGCAATGTGGGACTACGGAGAGATAATCCACATGACGGAAGAACTTGCTGGCCTGCTGGGAATGATTGAGCCAGAGAAGGAGAAGCGCCAGTGCGTCACCAAAGTTTTCGCAGCTGGCCTCCTGCTGTCCCAGACAGGAAGGACACCAAGCATGGACGACGTGGAGAAGCTGACCCAGGATTTTCGGCTGGAGCAGGCACGGCTTGCGGTTGAGGCCGAAGGGGTCATGAGCCACCCAGAGGCGAAGGTCGCCCTAGTGGAACATGAACTTCGGATGTACGCCCACGATATCCTCAAGCCTCATCATGACAAGGACTACCGGGCCCTGGCCGTGTTCCCGTTAGCTGCCCTCGAAGAGATCAGGGTCATTGTGGTCAGGGTGGACTATAAAGGGGACATCCTGCTGGAGACGGTGGTAGGCAGCCAGTGGACACAGCAAGACGTGTGGGTGATGATTTCCAAGGGGCACATGACTCTGTTGCAGCCTCCCTCAAAGTCTGCCGGAGACGCCCTGCTGAACAAGGAGGAGGTCTACCATACCCCATGTTTGGGATTCCGGTACTTCTGGCATCAGCGCCACGATCAAGCAAAGACTGCCCCGGGCATCATTGCGTGTCGACACTGCAAGACCAGGAAAGGAGGTGGCAAAGAAGGCCCAGACACCTATGGATGCTTGCGGAAGACAACTTGCTTGCCGGCGTTGTCTCAATGCGTGGCCGGAGGAGTTCAGACGGCCAAGGCAGTCCATGGCGCCAAAGCTCATGATGGGTTGGTGCTACGAGAGTACTTCGCCGGGCACGGAGTCATCACTCAAGGTTGGCGGGAGGCGGGCATGGTTGCCCTCGAGCCTATCGAGTTGTATGACCAGCCCCACCAGCAGCTTGGTCCCCGGCCGGACCACGATCTTGCCAATCCGGCACGGCAGAAACACTATCTGGACCAGCTCGGGCAGCACGAGTCCAATGTGCAATGGATCGCTAGCCCATGCACTACATTTTGTGACTGGTGTCTCCAGAATGGGGGAACGAGGACCTTCCAAAACCCAGCTGGCTTGCCAACCGAGAAGGAGCGTGTCGGGAATGTCCTGTCGGAGTATGGCGCGGCAATCTTCGAGAAGTCCATGCAGCAAGGAGGCTTCCCCATTGCTGAGAGTTCCGGGACCTCAGGCAGGTACCCCAAACAATGGCATTTACCCCAATGGCGAAGGTTGCTCCAGCGGCCAGATGTGGACTTCATCGAGATTGACATGTGTGCCTTCGGGCTTGGGCCGCCAGGGACGCAAGGGCAGTTCTATCGTCATCGGACGGGCCTGGCCTTCCCTCATCACCCTCCCCTTCGGCAAGCTCTCCTACGGCTATGTCCCGGCATCAGCCAGACCCACCAGCACGTGGCACTCAAAGGTAGCCGGCCAGGGGTCATGGTATCCCGATGTACCGAAGCAGGTGTTTACGCCCCCAACTTTGTCCGTGCTGTGGTCGAAACCCTCATCCATACTTTGGTGGGGGGGGGGGGCAAACCACAACCCCTCCTCTCCAAAACTGGTGGCCGACCTTACGGATGGAATGTGTATGAGGAGGATCCACCAGCTGAAGAGGAAGAGGAGGAGGCAGAGTTCCACCAAGGGCTTCAACACCTCAACCAAGAGGAGCTCCAGCAGGTCGCGGGCATGGCGGTCGAGGCAGCTCTGGGGGTGTGGAACGGCAGGACCATCCATGAGCCCGAGGAGACGGTCGAGGAGTCGGTGGGAACCATGATGGAGGAGCCTGACGAAACGCTGGAGGAACCGGATGAGGTCGTCGAACCGCCTGATGAGGGCGAAGCAGGGCCGGGACAAGGGGGAGAAGCAGCAGGATCTGGGGAGTCGGTGGCAGAACCTGCAGCGGCCTATCGCATTGTGTGGGCAGACCTGGGTCAGAGGAACCGCATGGAGGTGGACGCTCAGCGGGGCTACGTCTGGCTGTATACCAACGAGCCCAGAGACGACTTGGCGGTCCCGGATGAGCTGCCTTATCCTTATTGGCCCCATCGATTCCACAGCGAGAGGTACACGAGATGTGAGACTCGGAACACGCTGGGCCGTCTACAGGTGGCAGAGGTCTATGATGACTGGAGGGTACAGGGTCGGGGACGACCACCCTTTGCGCCATGGACGGGTGTCACCTTGTTCGTCTTCCGGGACGGTCAACTGCCTTGGTCGCACGTCTTGGTTGAGGACGAGCAGAACCGGAGGGAAGGGCCGGATGAACCCGACCGGTCGGGAGGGGGCCCAGGAGATGACCGGCAAGGATGGACCTCGAGCCACCACACAGGTTGGCAAGGGTTAAACCAAGCCGGAGTTTGGCAGGACTGGTCCTCAGGCACGTGGCAGGACTCCCGAGCAGGAGGCAGCCGGTGGGTTGACTTCGAGGAGGAGGGCATCTCAGGAGCAGCGGCTACGGCAGCTATGGCCTACATCCAGGAGATTGACGGCATGCAGGGTTCCGGTCCGGCGACCTGGCAGGCGGTTCGGGAGAGAGGAGACATGCTGCTTGGACGGGCCGGATCGGTCGAGAAGGCAGCCATCGCCCTATGGATAGCAAGAGAGCATCTGGGGCGAAACAACCTGCAGGGCGTCGACAGTGAGGAGCTAGACCCTTTGGTGCACCCGGATCACCTGGACTACCTGAGGGAGGTGAGAGCGCAGGGGATGCCCGCACGCTACCAGGGTCAGAGGGAGAGAGTGGCAACTAGACCGCACCCGAGAGCCAGAGCCGACTTGGGCCAGGTCTATGTCCAGTTGATGAAAGACATCATGAAGCACAGGGTGCTGGTGGTCTCGGCAGATCATCAAGACCTGGGACATACGGTGTCGTCACCATTTGAGCTGGTCCCGAAGATGCTTCCCAATCGGACCCTGTCTACGGAGGCAAGGTTGGTTCACGACCAACGACAGGTCAATGAAGGCACGCACAAAGACCTTCATCCACCGGCGGCACAGCCTACCCACGAGCAGGTCGCCAGGAGGGTACTGTGGTTGAAAGCCCGATACCCGGGAGTGAAGGTGGTCATGGCCAAGAAGGATGTGGCCGGGGCATTCCGTCTCCTCTGGGTTGACCCGCGAGATGTCGAGCTTTTTGCAGGAGATGTCCCTTGGAGACCGGAGTGCATGGAGCAGAGTGGGGGCGGTGGAGAATGTGACGGTTCAGGCCTGACGCTTATCTACCTCGTCTCCAGCTTTGGCTTCTCGGGGTCCCCAGGGGAGTGGACGGTGTGGGGGCGAGCTACGGAGGAAGTTCACCGTAACCTGCGACCGCTCCACAGCCGAAGGGACGGGGAGGTGCATTTCTGTGGAAAGATCTTGGTCGACGACATGGTGCTGGTCGAGCCGGTGATCGGTTTGCGGCCTTGGGTGTCCAGTGAGGTCTATGAATGGGCTGTGGTGAAGTTACTGGGCGAGAAGGCCATCAACAAGTTGAAGGACGCAGAAGAGGGACGGTTCAGCAACCAGCAGACAGTTTGGGGCCTCACTATCGACACCGACCTCGAGAAGATGTCGCTTCCGGAGGCACGGATCCTCAAGGGGGCCTACTTGCTGGCACAGCCTCATTTCAACTATGGCAACAAGGCCCTGCCGTTGAAGGAACTACAACGGTTCCGGGGCATCGCCAACGGCTGGAGTGCAGTGATTGCGGGTCTACGAAATGAGTTGAAGGCGGCAGACCTCTTCCTTGGTGGAGTTGATGGTGGGGCAGCAGTACACCCGCGGCTTCATCAACCGGAGGGCTCAGAGGCAAGGCAGATCGAGGAGACCAGTGCTTGGGAGTCGCTGTGGGAGCTCTTCGAAGACTGCAGGTGGCTGTGTTCGAGGTCCGAGACGTGGGCGGCCAAGTTCGGGGGAGACATCAGGGAGTTGCTGCCCCCACTCGAGAGGCTCGCGCTCCCAGGGCAGCGAGGGGCGGGTCCTGTCTTCGTTTCATCGGATGCAACCCCCGACGTCGTGGCAGCAATCGACTGGACGAACCACCTGGCCTGCCGCGAACCCATTGAGGTTCTGAAGCCGTGGATACGACAGGTGCTCGAGGCTGAGGGGCAGGAAGATGGGAAACTCGCCATTCATCTGGGAGAAATGTTAAGCTTCGTCGCCTTTGCCTGTCGGGTGGGCCACATGTGGGAAGGACGAGTGGTCATCTATGCCGGGGACAACAAGGTCGTCTACTTCTGGATTACCGGACGCAAGAGCGGAGTGCGGGCAGGGAGGCTTCTGATCCGGGTCCTCAACCTCGTCGAGAAGAGGCACAGGTGCAGGATCCTTGGAGGATGGTGGAGGACCTTCCACAATGAGGATGCAGACGCACTGACCCGTCTGGACGAGCCGCAAGCACTGCAGCTTATGAAGGATAAAGGTTGGAGCCGGCAAGACATCAAGCCCAGCATCCATCAGGCCCTGGAAGACACGGAGCGTTTCGGGCTTTGCTTTCTGTCCTGGGCCGACCAAGAGGACCACCATGAGCTGATGCGCCTTCGAGAGCTGCGGGTCTTTCGGGCCATCTTTCGACAGCCAGCGGATTTACTGGATGTCGAGGTCGTTGAGTGGACACCCGGACAACGTTACGTGAAGGACCTGGAGTACTTCTCGGGCAACGGCAATGGAATGTACAAGATTGTCGCGGGCACCATCGGCCCTGATCCGAAGGGCAGGAAGGTGACAGAGTTCACAAGGTATCTGGACCAGGAGATCTTCGATGTGGCGGTTCTTGAAGGGCCCACCGAGGTGATGTGGAGGCGGCTAGAGCAGTGGGCCATCTCAGTTGGCTGGGGCTGCAGCTTTCAGGAGTTTTTGACCTCCGAGCTTGGCGAGGCGTTGGTGCGCAGGAGGATTGCGGGGTTCCTGTTCCCGGGTGACAAGACCGAGGAGGAGGTTGAGCACCTGATGGTCAAGACGGTCACTCCGCCCTCTATGGGCTCCTACCTGAGAAAGATCACCGAGGAGAACTGCTTGCCGGCCTACAAGATGGAAACAGCAATCAACGTGGGCCAGCAGGTGACCGCTCATGTGTGGCTAGAACCCGAGGGACAGAGGCACAATGTCTACTCGATGGGGGGGGCCCGGTAGGTGGCCGTTGTCCGAAGCAACCGAGAAGGGCATGCAGAAGATCTTCGTGCAGGACAAAGCGGCTCCAGTTGGTAAAGTGAGGGTGCTTTCCGGTGAGGAGGTGTGGATCCTGCAGGGCAGACGCCTGGATGAATGGCGCACCCTCGTATCCCAGATCGGCGAGGTCGAAGCTGAGAGAGAAGGGTGCAGGGCCACCGGACGCAGGACAGCCCTGAACCTGATTGGAGCGGCGGCAGAGCTGGCGAAGGAAGTGCGGGAGAATAAGGCCGGCATGTGCATCGACCAGGAGGACTACAAGACCCTCGGCTCTCTTCTACAATGGCTTCGCAAGTGGAGGAGGGGAGACTTCGGAAGGGCGCCTCCGAACCGAAAGGCCGGAGGTCTTGGCGAGGAGGTTGGGCAGGGCGCCCTGGAGTTTGAGTTCGGCAGCTTCGAGGGTATTGAGGAAAGACGGTGCGGAGGGCGCCGAAAGGGGCAAGTGAGGCCTGTGGTCGAGGACGGAGGGCGTTTCGTTGACTTGAACCCCGACTTCAACCAGGATATGGAGATCCAAGCGCAGATCGAGGAATGGCTGGAGGCGCACCTCACTGGCGACAAAGCGGAGAGCACCCAGAAGGCCTATACCTGTCGGCATGGAACAAATGGTGCGATTGGAGCAAGAGGCAAGGGTGGCTGTCCCCCTACCTTGACCATAGAGGTGACCCGATCCAGAATGAGAACAAGGTCCTCGGATACCTGGGCTACTTGGGATGGTTGGGCACCTCCGCGGCGACCATGAAGCAGGCTGTCTTCGCCATCAAGGACGCCCACAAGAGAGCGGGACATGGGGATACCACCACGAAGATGCACCGTCTGTGGATCGTCCTCAACTCGCTGGAGAAGCATTCGGTCAAGCGTCCGAGGCGATTGGGGGTCACCGTACAGATGCTCAAGTGGCTTGGCAAGCAGCTCGTGGCTGGGGCCGAGTCCTTTGGGGAGCTCAAAGTCGACTGCCGGATGATCCAGGCGGCGCTCCTGACGGCGTGGTTCTTCATGCTGAGGGCCCGGGAATTTGCGGACTCGAGTGGGGTCGACCAGGAGATGGTAGTCCGGGGACAGGATATCTCGTTGACCACCCGGGGACAGGCCGACGAGACGGATCCGGAGGAGGTCACCCTGCAGTTCCGGAAGACCAAGGCGGATCAGGAAGCCTTTGGGACCTGCAAGACTATGAAGAAGACGGAGATCGAGTATGTCTGCGTGGTCACCGCTCTCCATCGCCTTCGTGAAGTCGCACCAAGGAGATTCGGAAAAGGGCCTGAAAGTCACCTTCCGCTGTTCCGCTGGGCATCAGGTGCAGTGATCAAGCGGCTCGAAGTCCAGAACTTGCTCCAGAAGGCAGCCAAGGCCCTCGGTCTACCAGCGGAACGGTTCCAGTCGCATTCCCTCCGCATCGGCGGAGCTTCGGCCTTGTATCAGGCCACGGGCGAGATCGAGGTCGTCAAAAGGACCGGAAGATGGACGTCCTCGGCGGTGCAACGCTACCTCCATGACTCCGGAGACGTGCTGGCAGGTTTGGCGAAGAAGATGGCCACGGTTGACCAGCACGTGCACTACACGTAGTGGCGAGCTTGCCCAGAGCGAAGTTAGTGAAGAGGGGTGGTGGCAAGGCCATAGATGACTGACAAGTCACTGGCCGGAGCACCAACTTCAGTGCTTCGCAGCGAGAAAGGGTGAGCGCTATGCACTTAAGGGATCATTTTGGGCGTCCTCGCTCCCCGGTTCTATAGGGTTTGATTCGGCAGGGGATTACACAATGATGTATGCAAGCTTTGGATATGTCCGGTCCAAGTGAGGGGCGCAGGCTTCAGGCTTCATCCATGAATGGCCCATTGAAGTATCACAAGTTCCAACAAACGAACCCACTGGACATCGACCAATTTCCTACCCTTTGCTGTCCATAGGTCCTTTGCTAGGGACTGCTAAAGGGTTTTAGTTCTAGTGGCGTAGTAAGAAATCCCATCTAAACAGAAAGGACAAGTGGTCTAAGAGTACACCTGAGGACAGTATGGTTTGTCATGAGATTGCAATTGATCAACTTAAGAACATGCCACTGATCACACTGAAGAGCACGGCCAACATGGTCCAACAGTTGGCTGCACATGGTCATCTTGTGAGTTGGTCCCAATCATGTGCTGTCGAAAACATCTTGGAATATCCTCACACCGTGTCCAGTGTCCTTCTTCTATGCACCCCAAAATGCGGTATGGAGTGTCCAGTCGATGCACATGTTGCGATATCTGACAAGAAGCCTTGCAGACACGCGCACAAAGGGCAGGCCTAAAAATAGTCCAAAAAAGACATGTGTCTATCCGTAAGGCCGGTTCCAACTACCAGGCCAGTTCCCTATCCCCAAGGTATGCTTGTGGCCACGACAAGTAGCTTCACAGTAAAAAAGAAAAAAACTTCCCGAGCGTGGGGATGGTTGTCCAACAATCTGCCAAACGCGAACCGCAACCGTTGGGTATGGCAAAGGGCCGCAGCAGCTCTTAAATCATGTCCAGCCCAAAGTGCGGGCCTTGAACGACTCTGTGAAAGCATCATGAACATGGAAAACACCGAGTTTGGACGGACAAAAGGCCTTCCACGGCCTCAAAATCACCAATGACTTGATGTTCCTGACCAGTTCATATCAAAGTGTGTCATGAATTTGATCGATGAATCCCCCCAGAGATCGATCTACGCGAGGCCTTCAGATCGATCAGAACATCCATAAAACGATGACCATAGCAACCATGCAACCTTACTTTATGTAGTACAATAGTATGTGGTCTGTATAGCCGGGGTCTATATATTAATTTGTGAGATACACATGTTATTATGATTACTATTATATATAAAAATATACCTTGTGCGTGTGTTTTGATTGGGCATTTGTTGGTCACGTGGAGTGGAACGTGTGACAGATGCATGGATAGCCGGTGTTTGGCAATACAATTGGGACCAAATATATAGGCGGATGTGGACATGCAATGCAAATCAAATACGGAGGCCCTTGAAAATTAAGGAGGATTCAAAAACATGTCATTATCGTCATAATACACAACCATGTCGATTCACATGTCTGAGCTTGCCCATTGGTAGGTGAAGGAGGCCCATTTAACCACGCCCACAAAAAGGGGACCCACCAACATCCACCACCATCTGCATGTTGGGACAATGGTTTGGTTGTGTCTGTTTGGGGGGCTTCATACTGAATGATTGAGACCCGCGGCACAAAATCCAATGAACAAGTAGCCCACGTCGCGACGTTTGGTTACATAAGTAAACACAATCCCAATGAACGCGATTCAGTGCAGGGGATCTCTGCACATACTGAATATGTTTAATTTCTGAGCTGCAATGAGTGGGGCATCTGTAGAAACAGGACAGTAGCAACCTGACCTTGATGCCTCTGATTTGGGCGGTTGGATTTGGATTGGAATGTCTTTACGGGGGTGCACTCTGACTCCCCCACATGGGCGTGGAAAAGGTCCCGTGGATAAAAACCTTTTGCCGTCATAGAAACATTTCTCTACTTTCACGTTAGTGTGTGGGACGGAACATTGAATGTTTGTAGATTTTAACGACTCACTGAGATGAAATAACCAAAAAAAGTTCATTAGCCCTTCGCCACTTCTGGCGCGAATGGAGGAGCTCTTCGCTTGCCATCAGCTGCCCACTACCCGATCGCATCCGCTGCCTTGTCCCATTTGTTTACATGAAGTCGACAGTTTGGTTTTTGGGTTGGCTTGAAGCAAAGGAAAACCATGCTGACTGGACTGCTTAATGGTCTTCTGTGGCCTCCCGCCCACCACTTTCCTGTGAGTGAGTCAACTGTCTAGCTCAAGCTTTTCAAAATTTCACCTGAAGTGGAATACGCTGTCTAGCTCAGATCAGCATCGCACGGCTGCTGGGAGAGGAGAGGAGAGGAGAGGAGAGGAGAGGAGAGGAGAGGAGAGG